TTTTTTTTGTAATTCTCTTGATTAATATATTATTTACTAATGATATATTTGAGAGCTAAGAAGTGCACATTTTTTGAAAGCTGTGTTTTAAGACTGTATATCATATACTTTTTTTTGAACGGTAAATTTATGTTAGTAGTTATTAGTGTGGACATAACAAAGCTGCATACAAAGAGATCATCTTGAAATCTCTTCTTCTATAGAATCCCTTATTGATAGAAATACTAGATTGTAAAAAGATATAGAAATAAGTGAGAGGAAAGTAAGGACAATAAGAAAAGATTGTCCATTGTATTTTTATCAAATATAAATCCAAAGATAGAATAATATATTAACATTTTTTATTCCCTTCTGCATATGTGTATCATTTATTTTCCTCTCTGTTTAGCAGATGATGAATGGGACTGATAGAACTTGTGTGTGTATATATATATATATATACACATTTTAAATAGCAATAGACTGAATTTTATGAGGTGAAGATCTGTTCTGAAATGTCTTTAGGTTATATGGCAGACAGCCATCTCTTTGATAACTGTCTGGTTTAAGTTGGTACTTTGTTTCTCTAAATGAATATTTCGGCTCCTTACAAAGATAATTTTAGGGAATTAATGGTGACATACATAATCCCATCATGGGCAAAAATGATAGTATTCTATTACTGCTATGTGTTCCTTCTGTTTTCTTCCTTTCTTAACATTCTGTTTCCTAACTAATTTTGATAATTTTTCGTGACATTAAACATTTCTCCTTTGTCCAGGCACTTCCATGATTGTCTGGCATGAGTTAAAAACTGGGCTGGACCATGTGCTTTTTGTTATTGTGGCAAATACCTTGTAAAGATGTAAATAAGAAATACACATCATGGAATATGTATTTGGACATGTTTTGCAAATGTTAAAGCCTCTCAGTTCTCTCTGTAAGCTTATTCTGTTGGAAAATTCCAAATTTGGCATCTCTTATTCCATTGTTTTATAGCAGTATTTTGTGTATGTGAAAATACCAATATTAACTGTGGAACACTATCATACCAAATTTAATCATCCAGTTTTAATTTTTCTGAGATCCTCTTCCAGATTTCCATGATCTGTTGCTTACTAAAATAGGTACTATGGGTGCATCTACATTAGTGTTTTAATTTGCAATCAGAAGTGAGCTCTTAAAGCGAATGTCTCAATTTTCCCCTTAAAGTGTATGGTATACATTACAACATGTTTTCTGAGCCAAAAAAAGAGGATTTTTTTCATGTAATGAAGCCAGAATATGTCCTTCTGAGTGCATCTAATGCCATCCAATCCCTCCAGGGCCCATAGACCAAGCAGAAGTTAGTCCGAAGTGAATCTCCTTAAAATGCAAAGAACCAGCATTCCTTGTCTCTCCCGATGCACCTGGCTCAGCTTCACAACTTGCTAATGGAGTCGTGGCCAAAATGCTGCAATGTAGCTGGGCTAATCCTGGCTGGCCTTTGATTTTCCTTGCTCAGTTATTGAGAAAGAAGTATAAGTAACATAAATAACATCGTGCTTTTATATAATTTTCTTGTGTTGATCAAGACATCATTGCACCACAGAACTATCATTATTCTTATTATGTAGTTGAAAATCAATAGGATTGAAGGATGCAGTGGTAAACTAATTTGCTGAAGGCCTTACAAAACTGGGAGTAAAAATCAGGTGTCTAGTCATGCTGTTTAAAGCTTTTAAAGGCTCAACTGAATTTCATAATATCCTAATGGATACCAGGGGATCTGTTAATGTCATCAGCATCCAATTATTCTCTTAATTCACTGTTTATTTAGTCTTATTATTGCAGTTAGATGTTCTGCCTTGCTTTTCCATTTACAAGGAGCATGTTTGTCCAAGGATGACTTGAACCAATCATCTTATCTGACTTTAAAAGAGAAGTGTAGGCAGTTGCTACCAAAATACTTTGTTTCTGTGCAAAAAGCATACAGAGTAAGTTTGCTTAATAGTTCGTGAAATTTAGGGGTTTGGCTTTAAAGTGACTTACATATCAATAGTGGTAAATGCATTTCATACAATGCTGAAGAAAGTCTCTTTGCCTCTTAGGTAATCATATAATGTTGGCTTTTTCTCTTTTTATTTGTTCCTCATCTTTAAACTTGTGTAACTTTTCCTTTATTTGACCTGGGAGTTGTTAACACCTGTACATAATTTTACCTTGAAAGGTTCTTGGAGCATTTCTTAAAGGAATATCAGGAAGGCAGATATCTTTTATAGTAAGGAAAATGTTCGCAAAATGCAGTTAGATATGAAGGAACATGGGATGAAATTACATGTGCCTGCATGCACACATACACACACTCACATATATGCATGTACAACCTCCACACATATGCAGCACCTGGTTCCTTATAAAATATGGCAGATGGAGCTTCAATCCTTTTGTAGAAGGTTGAAAAGAAATAAGGCCAGTGATTTTAGGTTTATCAAGAAGAGTTGTTATTACCTTCTTTGCAATAATATCTACATAGAAATTTTTTTAAGATACCATAAAAATTCTGATTATTGAAGGCATTTTTCATCTTAAAACAGAAAAGGAATTAAAATTCCATTTTAAATCCAGATAGTCTTGGAATATGGAAAAAAGAACACAAAAAACACTTCCACTTCTTAAAGGACTTGAAAAGTAGAATCTTTTGAATTGTGACTTCACCAAAGAAGTCAATGTGCTTTCGTCTGAAGCTTTGATGATAAAAGTGCAGACTTTCTGAAAAGTTAAAATCCCACCATTAGGTTCAAATCATTGGTGAACCATCAAGTTTCCCCTGAAAGAGTGCTACTAGACTATCACTATATAAAGGATTCTGTCTGATCTGTTTGTGGCCAAAAGTGGACATGCAGAGAGCATCCTAAGAAAAGAATAAAACTATTCCACAGAATATTTCTCTCCCCTCCAATAAGTTGCCACTCACAGATCTCCTGAGTTGAAGATGTATCTTCAGATGCATGAATTTTTCTAAAATTAGTTCTTCTGTTTGCTTTTTCAGGTTTTGCCTCTGCAAGACTCTGCAAAATGTTCCACAGTTTTAACTGTACAGTGTGAAGGATCTTCTCCCTTTTTTTTTTTTTTTTTGTTCAGAACCTCCTTGCTTTGCTGCCCTCCACTTCTTTTATTGAAACAGTAAGTGAACAAGTTGTTACTTATTCACCCTTTTTATGCCACTCAGGATTTTACAGCTCTCTACTATACACACTCTCAGTTATCTCATTCTAGACTGATTTTTATTTAGGATGCTTTTTGCACATGAAACAAAGTTTGTGTGATAGTTTCAGGAAGAAGGTCATTTGATGCCCCAGGGCAACCAATATATTCGTCTGATGTAAACAAAGAAACACAAAGAGATTTGTTATCTCAAGTATTTGTCTCTATCAAGAGGAACCCAATCCTAGAAGATCCTACCATCCTAAGTAATAATTTCTCCCCCAAAGAATCTACTGTGAGGACTTATTATTTGTCATTATTTGTGGCTAATGTCATAAAATACTTTGAAAATAGTACCAATAACAGGATATCTGTTTTTTTTTTTTTTTGATCTCACTTGTGTGTGAGATTAGAAGAATATAGCACAGAGAGGAAGTAGACCTTTTTATCTCTAATGCTTCTTTATCTGGTAAAATGTTCCTTCATTCCTATTTGTTCTTAGGCAGAACATCTTCACATTTTTTTCAAAATCGGAATCCTCTTAGACCATATGTATAACGTGGTGGTGGGTTTTGTTTTGGCTTTTTTTGTGGGGGGGGTCAGTGGCTGGAGAGGTTGAGATGTCATTTCTAAAGCAAACTCGTGACTTGCACAGGAGATTTTTGATCTGAGTGAAGAAATCCTTCCTAGAAGCAAGAAGGATGCTTATAGGCTGTGATTTTGCAGCACCTGCATGTATATAGGTAGTTTGGATGCAGGGATTTTGAAACGATCAGTTACATCTGAAAACTCAAACTATTCATCATTGTTCTTTAGCAATTCCAGAAAACAGCCACCTAAGGAATGAATTAAAAAGAAAAAAAAGAAAAGATAAGCCATGTGTCACTAAGTGACTATGTATTTAGTTATATAATTGCATGTATAGTTTTAACTTCATATGTGAACGTTATTCTGGTATGAGCCACTTTGAAAAGATTAACGTATAAACTGTGTCAAGAACTTAGCTTGACCTATTGCTTCTCTCTGTTGAGATAACATAAAGAGATGGAATGAAATATTTTACCTCCATGAAAATACCCATTTTCAGCACTAGTAGTTTTTATATGCCAGTAAGTTATGGACACTTCCCCCTAACCCAGAGAGATGCAAAAATAAAATCTGTAAAGAAAAAATGTGTTTGTATTCTTACTGAGCTTTCAATGAAATAATAATCCTCTTAGAATAATGTTACGTTACTCTGTAGGCTAAGATACAAAAATGCTAATTTGCTGCTAGACTGCAGCTCCCAATTTACATTCCAAATCAGACTGCAGAGCTCCCCAAATGAGGAGGTGCCCTCCCAGTGTATTTAATCTCT